AAGACCGATCGTATTCAGATCATCATCTGATATCGTAAAAACATTCACCATTACCTGAAATAACGTTAAACATTCTTAACAACCATCAATATCTCTCGCAATAATTATCACAGTCCATTATCAATAAGATCACCAAACAAAATGTCCCTTCTTTCCGAAAAAAACTGTTCGAAGTTCACATTTATTCACTTGACAGTTCCCATCTCATAAAACCAACACCACAAGCATTTCTGGTGCATTATTCGGAAGCATACTATCAATACCTTGCCGAAGATGTTGAACAATTCAGACGCGGACGGCATGCCTTGCGCACCCATATAATCACACAGAACATGTGATAACGACACAAAAAATTCACTCTTTTCTGCATCTTTCGTTATGTCGTCATTATCTGCAAATCCGATGCATGTCTACACTTTTTCAAAGTATCAATTGCACATATGTTTGTTTGTTCAGCTACCTAGACGGTCGTTTATTGTGTCATGGCATTTTAGTTCTGCATTTGACATGCTTAGCAATCGCCAAGTAGCGATTTATTGCTGCACCGAACGCACATAAACCTATTTGCAAAGTGTGATCAGAATAGTGAACATCAGAGAATGAGTCAGCCAACAGATAACACGAACGTGACACGAGCGAGTCGAATGTTCGGCCGTTGAATGCAGCATGTGCCGATTTGTCGTTAGTTCGTTTCACGATCACACGACTCATTAATCGCGCCATCGCGGTTGGCACTCTCGGATGAACCCGCAACAAACATGAACATTCTTCCTGCAATGAAAGTAACGATCGACGCTCAGCTTGGTACATATACTCATCAGCTGATAAGATACGCACTACTAGAAATGATATAAAGTCATTATCTGTTCAGAAATAACTTTTGAGTGATGAAGTTATCTGTTACGAGTGCATTTGCACAAATGCGTAGAACACTGTTAATTTCTTTCTGTGCGTGATATTTCTTCTCAGCAATCAGCGAGTATCATTACTGTCATACTGATTAATTATTATGCTGAAGG